TCATATGCTTCTAGTGTTATACACATCACAGCCCACCCAACCCACCTGTGAGTAGTACTAAAGATAGCCTTAAAAACTTATTATGTGAATCCTAAAAAAGACAGTAACTATATGTAAGATAATACTTCTTTAGAAGACACCCTCATGGTACATTTTTCAGAAAAGGTCGCTACCTCAAATTTTAACATTCTGATACTAAATTCTCTCACAACCTTTGCTATTGAGCAACTAGGACAGTAATGGGGAGAGGACGGAGGAATGTTCTTTATATTCCTAAAAATAATGCTAAGAATCAATAAGTTAGATTGCATAGGACCTTATATCCAAAGAGAAATCACAGTACATTCTGTATATTTTAAAATGTGACAGACCATTCATTGAAACTTGAGACCAACTTCACAAAACCTTCCTTTTTTGGTCACTTATATGTAGCCACAGTAAGGCCTTAATTCATTCCTAAACTGGTTAGGTGAAAAGCACAACTTCAGTTTTCAATGTGCACCTAATATTTAGAGCATTCTAGTTAAAAAAACCCAAACCTTGAGATAGGAAGTTAAAATAAAAAGGTACCCTAACAGTACAGGTTGGTAAAAGGAGAGTAGTTCTTACAGGCTTATAGTTCCTCTGTATAATTACGGCTTTAAGATTGCCCTTTAGAACAGATAAATCTTATTCTCTACTGTCTTTACTGAATGATAATAAGGGCTTGATTATGCATAAAGTTTGCATTCTCAACTGATCTGGCTGTGAGAGAGAGAGGAGTTCCTGCTGAATGACAATAAACCCACACATTTCCTATTTCTTCTAAAAATCACCCAGCCGTGAATTAAAGACTGGTTAAGAAAAATGTTAGCCCTTAGATAATTGTGTCTCAGAGACAGATGTCATACATAGCGAGGCCACACGCACAGGTTGCAGGGAGAAACCATTTTCCCTAACAGTGGAGTAGAACTTCCAGAGAAAATCTTTGAGACTCGTGTTCCCGTGACGCTTGTGAAGCACGGAATTACTTAATTCCTTCCCGATGTTCTCTACTTGCCAATATCAGGTTGATAAAATTATAAACAAGCTCCAGTTAAGAACTAATTTGATGCCAGAAAACCACAAAATATTGGGAACAACTGGAGGTTGAACTGAGGTTAGCAAGGAGAACTGAGACATACGGAGTTACACTTCTTCCTCTCCATCCCTGTAACTGTCTTCCACTCCATCAAACAACTTTCTGCTTCTCTTTCTCTTTGCCACCTTCGCTACATAAAGAAAGAATCAATTTAGAAGATTCTCTTAGTAATTCCTAGACACAGACAGTAGTGGCCCTCCTAACCCAACAGTCTGTCTAAAGAGACAACAGGAACACTAACGCTTATATTCTGAATGTGAAGAAGCGAATTATCTACTAAAGTTTCATTTAAACTTGAACATCTGATTACCAATTCACCTGAAATGCTTCCTCATACCGAAGAGAAACTGGAATTTAATCTTTCTCTGCCACCTTTTCTTCTGTTCCACCTTTTCCACCTTTCCATCAGTGTGTTACCATCATGATTCTCATACTAAATCCAAAACACAGCACTATAACGGCTACTATGCAGAAAATTAACTCTATCCCAGCCAAGAACAGGACACAATATATTTAATAAAAAAAAAAATCCAAAACTGTATGTATTATTCTGAAAACCCAAGTCTGATATGAGGAGATACAGACTGTTCCAAGGAACCATGTCCCATACAAATGCTGATCAACAGACCCATTCCATACTCTTCAAGGTTTAACAAGTGGTAGTCAGAACACTAATCTAGTTTCCAATGGATTTATGAGAGCTTAAATCATAGAGTTCCATTGCTTGAGAACACTGACAAAGGAATTGTGATCATAGTTTTCAAAAAAAATTAGATTATTCACCATATCTAGTCACTATCATTGCTACCCACCACACAACCACATCACAAACAACCCTACCGCATATTATATTTTCATGAACCACACATTTAGATGAGATAAGATTAAAGCTGTTCAAGTTTCATATTTTATCCCAAGTCTACATCTTTGGCTCATGATTTCACTTCTGGCTTTTGCATCACAACTGTTGAGTAAAGTTATGTTCTGACTGGTATTTCATATCTCTCTGTATGTCTGCCTTACAGCATTTTCAAAGACTATGGTTGTTTCTTTCCCTGATGAGGACTAAAATTTTCTCTTTAAGAAACAGACCTAAAATCCTTTAGAGAAATACAGCATACAAACGTATCTATTTTATACTTTTGGGGGTTTTTTATCAGAGGAGAAGTCAAAGTAATGATGTAGCTCACATATTTTTAAGAGTCTCTATTTTGCAGCATTATTTCTATGAAGTTAACAATAAGACTTATGAATACAAGCTTAACTCCTGAAGTGGTACCTAAATAGCTCTTCTGCTCCTTTCCCTGTGCAGATAGGAAAGAGGAAGTCAGGTCCAGACTACAGAACATGTGCCACATCACTGTTTGCTAAACTTTATGCTGCGTGGGATTAACTTGGTAAAATATATCAAAATGCAAACAATAAAAGCCAAGTGGCATTTTCAGTATTTTCAATTCACTTATTAAAAATAAAGTTTTTTATTTCTTCCTCCAATGATACAGATACTCCAAAAGTATGTTTAAATATACTCATCAGTGCAACTATCAAAGGGTAAGTGTGTATTATAGAAACGAGCCCCCAGATTAAGTATATTTTGTGAAATGTATGTGAATGTGCATGACTTGAACCAATGAACTGTGGCCTGAAATGATGTCACAGAATGTGCAGCATTAAGTGGAAGGTTAAACCTACTTGCATCTCGGTTCATTAAACGCGGTTAAAGTGCAAATTCCCTCATTCTGACAGTAGTAATCACAAGGGTTCACTTTCTGGTCACAGCGCTGACTTTTAAACCCCACAGAGCATCTGCAGAATTTCAGTAAAATAGACCTATATAAATATTCTGCCTTTTGCTGAACAGATGTTAAACGCATTATATATAATGATGGCAAGACACGCACACGTACACAGGCACACACCCATAGATAACAAAATTAATACTCTTTTTTCACGGAAGGTCCAATCTGACCATACTGGAAAGTTCGCTCATCAGCATTGATCAAACAATTTTAAAACAACGGGCCTATACTAACTGATGGGTTCAGGAATCCAACATTCTTAACGAAGTATTATTGTCAAATGTACTATACATTTGTATTGATTGATCCAGACTGCAATGGCCTTAAGAATGTTCATGACCATTTTTTTATCATCGTTAACAGTGTTGGCATATGCTGCAGCATTTATGTATTGTAAATCCATACACAAATTAAGGTAGGAAACTTTTTTTTTCCTTGAGATGCTATGGTGTTCTGTATGAATTTGAAAAAGATGCCGGTTTTATAAGGAAAAAGAAAGGAAAAATCATAAGCTTCCAAAATAGCCATTCTAGGGGTTTAAGCAAACGAATCACCAGACTTAGCCATCATATTTGGGCCTTACACATTATAGCTGTGATATTCTCCTTTTGCTGGGATTTATGAGTCTCTCTAGTCCTCAACTAAAGTCACTTAAGGAGATAAAAATAACATGTAAAAAGGACTGGATCAAAATAAAAAGGAAAACAGAAATAGGCTCTTTAGCATTTTCAGCTGAATAAGGACTACCGTGCAGAACTGCATTCCACTGTCTCCAACCCCAAAGCTGCAAACATCTGTTGAGAACTTCTCTTTGACAGTACAGCAACTACTGTTTTACCCCTCTGCACATTCAGAAGTGCTTGAGCTCTCACAGGGAGGAACAGTGGGTCCATCTCTTACACTCGTCAGGCTACAAAATCTTGGCATTTCTCTATGTAACTTCCTCGAGAATCTGAACACAACAGGAACTCTCTTTTAAGATCACCTCCCTCATACACATCAACAAAATGAGGGGACGGCTGTATCTGTATTTACACGGTTGTAAGGCCAGATCCCTTTGGACAATAACTGACCAATGTCACCCTGGAAATGAGACACTCAAGTCCAATTCTCTCTTCCAACAACTCATATGTTCCTGGAGGATGCTCTGACCTCCTGACTAACCTGAGAAGTGGAAGACCATCCACAATGAAGCTTTTCTGCAGTGCAGAAAAGATCGGATGGTTTATTAGGAAAAAAAAAACAAAAAACCAACCCACCCAGAGTCTGACTAGGTAGCTCACTGTAACTGAAAGCAGGAAAGAAATTAATTTCTCGCTACAATGACTACTTCTGTATTTTATATTTAGCAGCTGAAAAAGAAGATACACCATAGCTCTCAAGAAAGGACTAGAAATGTAGGCTTTTCTACCTCTTAAGAGAGTGCTTCATTGTCTAGACTACAGTATCACATTTCCTTTGGTATTTGATGTTTGGGCTTAAGAAAAGCATCCTACACGATTCTCCCAACAATGGTGCAGGAGGGAGAGTGAGCAATTGGACCACAGAACAGCCAAGCTACTGTGGGCAGTGTGAAGGTTAGGGCAGAAACAAGAGATACATAAGCATATCCTCAGACCCATAAAGGATATAAATGCTGACATTATTCCTCCTATTCGCTAGCCATCAGGTTCCTTACAGGAGCGCATCGCCCCACCTCTGACCATCTTTATAGGAGAAAAGACTTAATCCACCTTTGAGAAGTAGGGCAGGCAACCATCCTGTACCTCCGGATTCCATTCCGGAACAAATGCCTAAATGGGCTTTACATCTGGCCTGAAATTATTACAAGTCTTAAAAGATACATATTTTTATCTGTATGCATTCACAATATATCTCTCAGTTATATATTTCAGTACACATATTGCAAAAAGGTAGAAAAATTACAGAAATAGCTATAAAAAGCTAAACATCGTAAGTTAAAACTGCAACCAGCACATTATACATCCTAGAGAGATCAAAAATACAGACACATGCATAATAATTTTATTATTTGTGGGCACACAGATATTCTAATGATCTACACAATGCCGGGTACTCACAGACAGACAGGGATATTCGTCTCTGGGTCCAGCTGACATGTACCACCATTGTAACAGTAGCCATCGCATAACTGACAGGTAGAGGCAATCTTTCCATTAGTGCAACTGTCATGGCAAAAGAGAAATACAAATAGCAATCAGTATTTTATTAAATCTGGTGAATTCCCTTATAATTATCTATATATTAAAATACTGATTTTGTATGTACAAGATGTACTGAGTGCAAGAATGCTAGGTTTCCACTTTGAAAAACTAGCACAGGCAGCGAGTTTATTACACAAAATATTTTTAATCTTTCTATGAAAATTAACTATTATTATACAAAATAATCACTGAGCAATACACCAGCACATCTCACTACTATGCTTTCATTAGGATACAGTATGTCTCTATCACTGTCACAGATACTGCAGAATGAACAAATTTCAACAGCGTGGTAAAAATCAACTGTTTATTTTATTAAATATTCCAATTTTTCCAAGCGAAGACCCATTACAATCTCCTGCTATATTATGCTTCCCCCAGTGAGGTGTGCCTCAAAAGTTGGTTTTAAAAAGCAGGAGCCACACAAAGGAACTGTTCTGATGTGGCTGGTTCAAGGCTAAGCACCACGTAAGAGATTTCAAGGATAATGCAACATAATCACTGTTAAGTATATGATTTTGAACACAACCACGCCCCCCTACGCACACTTACTTGCATACTATGTCATTACTGTCCTTGTTTATGATGCAGTGTCCCCCATGACATCTGATACACCTGTCCACTTCACATTTTGGACCTTCGAATCGTACTGGACAAACACATTCTACACTTCCGTCATCAGAAATAGTGCACGATTCAGAATTCACACAATAATGGTGGCAAACATCTGCAAGCAACGTGACAACTAATTACTAAAAGAGATTAAGGAGTATCATTTAAAAATAATACCTTACTTTTCTATGTTTTAAAAGGCTTTATAATAAAAACAAAACGATAAATGCAGCTGGTGGCTCACTGGCAACCACAAGAATCAAGAATACTCCATAAACAGATACATAATATATTAATGATGTAGTCTTGAGAAGTGAAATAGAAGGAAAAACTCATAAGAGATTTTTTTTTTTTCCTTCTAGGTGTCTAACCATTTATGGCATCATTCCACATAATATAAAGACTACTGATGAGAAAAGCGGCGTAATGTTAATGTATTTAATGGGACATTGGCTGAATAAAAATCTTTTGATACATTCACATTAGCATTAACAGCATTATGCTAAACTGAAATGGAAACAGTATTTTGAAATAATTAAGTTTTATTTTCATTTATCCACATATTAAAATTTCATGAAGTTCTAATAACAATACATAAAGACATAATCTATAAGTTCTGCAAAAAAGTACATACATGCTTATCTTTATAGACTGTGCAAGACCCCATTATCTTACTTAACTGCTTAAATGTCAGCAGGACTGGGATTTCAAATAGTGAATTCTTTAACTCTTTAGAAGAACCGTAGGTGTCTCATTTTTTTCATATCCCTTTAAAAAATACAAGTTGCCTGACTGAAGGAGCTTCCAGAGCTACAAAAGACCGGTATCTTAACATTTAGGTTCATTTCTGTTTATGTGGTAGCAACAACTTTCTTTGTTTTGATTTTTTTTTTTTTTTTAGGTCATCATTTAAGCTCCTTAACGGGGCCCAACCACTTAAAGTCTCTATTTCTCCCTGTTTCTAATACTTTCTCCAGTTCTGTGTAGTTAACATGTTGCACTGAGCTTTTGGTGGCGTTCTTGGCGGACAGATGAAGTAATTGCTATAGAAGATGCATCAATTCTGAACTATGCATCTTTATTAGCTTCGAGTTAAACTGGTCCACATTAATAAAATATTACCTTTCTGCCAAAACTAAAAAATTCATGTCCTTCAAAGCACAAGATGTGCCTGAGGGTGAGTCAGTAGCAGCATTGTAGTAGGGCATTATCAGGCTGTTCACTAGAGAATGAAACCTTGGCCAAACTTCAGCCTTGAGTCTGGCAGTGTAAACTCTCCAGCTGCCGTTTGAGCGGGGACACATTGTATGCAGCAAATTGGAAACTACTAAAATGGATAGATTTTACTGAATGTATTCAAGATGGATGATTTGTGAGGGTATCTCAAAGTGGGAAACATTTTGCTTATGCTTCTCTGCGTTCAGTTTTCCCCCCTCTCAGAGAAGTGTGTCCTGACTGCCATGACATTGGTACCCACCACGCTGCTGGAAGACTGCTGCTGAAGGACTAAGGTTGACTGATGGAGGACTTATCTGTTAGGTTATTCATTGGATGTCTCCACCTCCCTACGCAGGCTATAGATTCATCTACTTATGGAATCACGACTGAGCAACCAGAGAGGCTTAAAAGACACTAAAAGAAGTGGTTCATTGTTTGCCGTTCCCGAATTCAAGGTACAGAATGGTAATTTGCAGCAGGGGGTCTGTTTTCTCAGCAAAAACTACCTTAGTTTGAAAGCTAATATTGCGAGACATTTTATGAAAAAAGCATTGCAAGGGGGAAATGTTTCCATGTACATTAGGACAAAAAAAACACAACCCAAAACCTAGGCATAGGAAGTTCATACTCTAAACCATTATTGGTTTTTAGTATTGACTGAAGTCACAAACACCTTTAATCTTCTGATATATCTAAAATGTGTATGCTACATTTGGACTGAAATAACACAAAAATAATTCTTTTTTTTTTTTTTCCCCCCTAAAGAAAGGGATTTCGGTTTCAGGGAAAGAAACAGCTTGTGAGCTCACTATAATCTACTTTGAAAGACTGTAACTGCATGAAAACATTTTCTATTTTTTAGGTTGTTTGGGCCTTAAATGATACAAGAAATGAACTTTAACTAGTCTGTATGTTTTATTTCCGGAATTTAAAATAGGGAGTTATATTCAAATACATCAAATACATGTGTATATAACAACATGCACAACGTTAGTAGAATTCTATGTAAATTCATTCACTTAAATTTATTTCAGCAGTGCCAGTGCCTTGACACGGAGCACACATTTTGGTTATTAGCCCTTATGTGAACTAATCACAGGAGAAACTCTGCATTGGGTAATTGGAGACGATAAGTATGAGGAAAATAAGGTCTTTGCAATCTGGCAATACCGCAAGTAAATGTCTTCTCACTGCCATAAAACACACTAATAATACTTTCAGCTTGGGAGCATGAGTGAAATACCTATGCACATTCATGTATCATCCTTTGCATATGAACTAGTTTCAATCACATCAGAGAAAGACTGAAAAAGATATCTTAGAGGCAACCAATCTTTGCAATAATGCTATATTAATATATTGCAACATGCATACAAAGTGAATGCAATTAACAAAGCAAAAATCATACATGTGTGTGAATAAAGCAGAAAATCATAGATGTGAATTTATATAGGCGTTAGTAACTGTAAACTTGTACAATTTCACAGAACTGTTATTGGCCAGAAAAAAAATATTCTAAAAGACTGTAAGACTATTTTTTTCCTAAAAGTATTAAGCTTTAAATAAACAAAAGCTTAATTTTATTTTGTATTTTATAATGTGTTCGAGTCTCAGTATTGTGGCATTTTTCCAAAGTGTCAGCAGACAATCCAAATCTGATAATAAACACTGTTTAAAAAGTACCCGTAAATTTACATTTAAATTAATTCTTTTTTTTAAAAAAAAAAAGAAAAGAGGGTGTTTGCAGAAGCATTCAACTAGAAACAATTTGTTTGGTTTTTGGGTAAGCCTCAAGTAAATATTTTTTCTTAATCTGTGTGTCTGTCTGTGCATGATTTATGTACTATACTGTTTTCAAATACCCAATTGTGTTTGCAGATAGTTATTTGTGGATCCATGCGGTTTGTTTAATACCAAGTGGGAGAGAATCACAATTACTGCTGGTTTTCCATTCAAAGGTTTCAATTTATTTCATAGTCTCCCAACTGGAAATACATTCAGTTTACTTCAGTACGAATCCTATTTAAGATACACATTAACCCTTTCCTTGTTTGACAGACCTTTCACTAAAACTAAATACTTTTTGTAAATTGTAGATAATTCTAAACCAGACCTTTATAACAGCTAATTTGCCTTCCATTTTGTTTAAATCTAGCCTTCTTCAGCAAATTCATTGAATTATGTACAAAAGAGATGATGGCTTTCACATTTAATGTTCTATTCTATAACAAGCACTACGACAGTCCTCTATTTTAGAGTGTTATAGTCAAAGCAAAGCAGAAGCAGAAAAAAGATTAAAAAAGATAATTCTGATCTCAGAAAAATACTCAGTTTTAGGTTAGGGTTGCTAGTGAGTCATCACATTGAAAAGAAAGAAAACTGTAACTTTGAAATGAGTGACCAAAAGAAGAAATTCGAAACTCTATTCAAATGTCTTGAGACACTGGAAAACGGATAATGGTGACCCATACTAAGAGAAAGCATGGAAAGACAAGAAAGACAAACGGAGTAAGAACAGAAGGCCTAATGGTTCATAATCTTCTTTCCCCTCTCCTCTGTAAAAGAAGTAAAAAGTTAGAGAAAGTTCTAAAAAGTGAGAGGAGCTTTTCTAAAGACATGGAAACCTTTAGAAAACAGTATCTCAATGAGAAGAGACTGATGGGTCAGTGGAATGAAAAACTATGGAGAACTTGAGATGCAGAAGACAGAACCCAAGTCCTGAGAATTAAACAAGAGTAATACTTAGGAATCCTATTTTTCAATACCAGGAGGGGGCAGAAACCATATCAAGGTGATCTTAGACTGCACAAGATGAAGGAATATAGAGGTGTGACACTCGAAGCAGTTGTCAATATACTGCTTACTGGGGTTAGAAATAAAAAAGAAAGGAAAGGTAGCGGTCCAAGACGTGTGTAGTGTGCAAAGGTAAGGGATACCAGACAAATTCTTTAACCAGATATGTCAAATCACTATGCTTAGGCATTCCACCAGCATGAGATAACAAATAGGAGAAGTTGGAGTAGAAAATTTTAACGCAATTATCTCATTTATACTGACAGTCAGCTGTCTTGTACAGCTCCACTGCATGTATTCATTCATGAAAATACTAAAATAAATAATTCCTAAAAAAGCTCTTTCTTCACCTACGCGTGGAGATGGATATTGCAGAAGTATGTTCAAAGATCACTTGAACACATCAGGTTCCATTCCCTTAGCAGTATGAAGAATTTAGGAGCTAAGTTTACCAACACACATCATGGAAAAATAAGTCAAATCATGTTAAAATTCCATTTTATAGAACTTCTATTATAAATCCAGATTTAAAAGTATTATATATCAAGATTTGAGAGTTTGTGAAGATTACTTACAATACTGACATCTGTCTCCCGTATACTCGGGCAAGCAGTTGCAAAAGGGCTGGTTCCCAGCAGTGACACTGCAGGATCCTCCGTTCTGGCAAAAACGATCGCAGACCGTCTGATTGCAGTTTGGTCCCGTAAAACCCAGCGCACAGTTGCACGTAGGCCTCCCTATTCCAAACAAAGAAAACTACTTTATGATAAAAATAAACAAACATGAAAATAATAAGCGGCGATTTAAAGATTGATACACTTACAACAGTAGCAAGTCTTAACGTATGAGCCCATTTCTCCAAACACCAATAAAAAATGCCTTTGCAAACATTGCTTGAATTCAGAACTTCTTAAAAATAAAGTTAGTGCTGTAAGATATGGACACCTCAAAAACTGTACTTATGCACTTGGCACTTATATATGTATGGTCATTGATTCTCTATTTGGAAATTATTTTAAAAGATGGACTTAAGTAGGAATTTAAGATATGACTAAGATCTTCAAATCATCCTCCCAGGCTGGGTTACTCCAGTTGCAGAGGACAAATATTTGTATAATCAACAACAATTCTTCTTCAGAACACACTCCTTTATCCTCAAATCTACAAACCTTTACATACAATCACATGAATATACAGATATTTACTAATGCCCTAATAGCCAAACTTTACATAACTATTTTTACTAAACCACAAATAGGTGGGCCTGTTTTGTTATCCTACCTCTCTCACATAATAAATATTGTAACATGAAAACTGCTGTCTTGCATCAGACCAAAGATGTCTGTAAGGTCAATATTCAATGTCTGAAAAGTAGGGATGAACATTTGCACAAAATTAACTCCTAGTCTATAGCTTCTTTGTACAGGGCTTTAAACTAGTGTTTAAACACTGATGCATTTTCCTGCTGTGATTCTTCCCTATTTTAATTTTTCCAATTTTTTTCCTTATCTAAATCTCATGTCTAAAGGATTTATAGCTTTGTTACAATTCCACTGGTTTATTAAATGCTTCTACTTTTCCCTGACTTTTTTTCTTAAGGGTTATCTTATTTAAAACAACCTTCTAGATCCCATAAATGTTTTTCCATCTCCTGACTCTGCTTTTATATCTCATTTGTAATCTTCTTTTCAAGTAAACGACCCTATGTGTCGAACTAGCCATCTCCCTTCTGACTTCCTAATAATATATTCTCACTCTTGTTTATTTCTTACAACATGTTATTTTTCCCCCACTGTCCTTCCCTTTGTTTTGATTCCGCCTTTAGGGTTTTCTTAAACTTAGGGAAAACAGACAGAGTTTAACACTTTTCTTCTTCCTGGCTTCCCAGATGGGTAAGGAAACAGACAAAGATTAATCAGGACCTGAGGACACTTGTGAAATAAAGGGGTAGACAAGATGGTCTTTGTTGGAATCATAAGGAACCCAACCCGCTGGCAAGTACAATCAAGAGCTTCACTGGGTCACTGTAGAGCATGGGACAGCTGACAGGCAAAGACTAGATTGGATATAAGGAAAAACTTCTTCACTGAAAGGTTTATCAAACATTGGAACAGACTGCCCAGGGAAGTGGTTGAGTTGCCATCCCTGGAGGTATTTAAAAGACAGGTAGATGTAGTGCTGAGGGACATGGTTTAGAGGTAACTTTGCAGTGCTAGGTTAAGGGTTGGACTTGATGATCTTAAAGGTCTCTTCCAACCAAAACAATTCTATGATTCCATAAGTCTATGACTCATCCTTTTGAGTAAAGTCACAGAAATACCATATTGCTGAGTGAGGGACCATGCATGGGCTAGCAACAAAGAGTAAATAGTAATCAAGCAGAACAAAAGGAATGCTCATAGATAGACTACAGAAAACCAAAACAGTAACACACATGCTTTACATAAATGGTGAAAGTCTGAGAATTAAGATGGGAGAACCAAAATGTCTAGTCCTGAATGGGAACATCAATATCAGTGGCTATAGCAAATTTGGAAAAGGAAGGCAACTAATGGACTGTTGCAAAACTAATCCACATTACCTTGATATCTTGTCTTTGCCCTGACAGAATAGGGCTACACGTTATGAAGTGCTAAAGTCAAACAGATTAGCAACTTAGCTACATAATGTACTGCTATGTGTGATGCAGAAGCCCTTTGGACTGGAATTACAGGCATAAAGACAAAAAAAACAGCCTATTAGATTTTATTATTGAAAGCCCAATCAAGTTAATAATATGACTGTGGGATTCGAAAGAGATAGAGAAAGTCAGGGAATACATTAAGGATGAGAAACTCCATTTATCCCTGCATTTACATTTGAAAAACTTCATACCAACGCCATAGGGCAGAAATGAACTTGTACTTCATGAAGGGGTGGGTTAGCGAGCACACAAGAGAAGATGTGCTTGACTTGGGCCTGACTTAGTTTAAAACATACACAAGAGCCAAAATCCTAAGTAGTCAAATGAAATAACACTTAAGGGTTATTTTTCCATAATAATTATCTCATCTTCATACTGATCTACCAGGAAATACTTACCACTGCCTGACTTGCTGATGGATTATGACCAGGCCCCTTCCTTGCTGTCTACTGTTTTATTCATTGCTTCCTCATTTTAATACAATGTCTGGTGTCGGTATCCACAACTACTTGCACATTTGCCTCCTGATGTCTTTTACCACAGCTCAGTCTAAAACTCCGAAATGTGCAACCCTTCTTACTTTTTTGTTTTGTTTTTTCTCTGTTTAGTTGGCTGTCTCATTAAAGTAACAGAGAATAAACTAAATATCCTATAAACCTCCCAATTTTAATTTTCTTCTGGTCTGTCTTTGTTTTAATACTATGTAATTATTTAATATCATATTCGTTGGAGAATTTTTCACTGCAAGTGAAGTGCCCCCCGTTTTTTTCTACTCTCATTCATGCAGAATGATTTATTTATTCTTCTTCCTTCACTTACTCTTCTTACATGAAACCCTTCACATAATTCTTTTCTATATTTTCTATTTTAAGCTATGCTAATTTAAAGTGTTTTGCAAATCATCCTAAAGGCCATGAGATCAGTTAGTCTCTTCCTCTAATGAGTACAGCAGGAACAAAACCATTGACTTAAAAATAGCTCCAACTAGTTCAATATGCATCAGCCTGGTTATTCATATCTGTCCCCTGGGATCTAAACATTAAATCAAAGATGTTGAACTCAGATGTTAGCACAGACTCTTTTTGTTTTTCTCCATGTATACACTTGTATTTAAATTTCTGCCCCCAAGCCAGGTGGTTTCACATAATCCTTTATCTGAATCAAGCGTTGCAATAAAAAAGTTGAAATAAAATAGTGAATAGAGCATAGATCTGGAGGTCTGAAACCAGTTTTGATTATTAATACTCTTCTATTTTTTAAACTGATGGGGCAATGATATTTTCCTAGTTTGTAGGAAAGATTATTCTATTCTTTGCTAATGTAGGCTGATAAATATGCCAAACTGCTGACAGTCATATGAAAATTTAATACAGTATAGCCTAAACCCCGTTTTATTCACTCAATTTAACATGACTTTCAGTAACGTTAATAGTTCATTGTCTATTTATACACAGACTGTTGGCATCTGAAATAATACTAATAACCACATTTTAATCCGCCTTATTCTCATAAATTATTTCTGATACAAAATGGTTCCAAGAACAGTTTAATAAAACTGCAGTACTAAACAATGACAAACAATGCCATAAGGTTTTCTATCATAGAATCAGAATATTGATTTATGTTTGCAAAGGAAATAGTCACGTTAACCAAGATGTCACAGATGCTAACTAACAAGCTTGTGATCTCATGCACAGACAACTTCGGCATTTACACTGGTTGTGAATTTTCAGGATTAGAGCTGTACAGAGACAGAAGTAAAATCGCATCTTAATTCCCAACCTTCACCACCACAGAAATGTTCACAACACACCACAGTATAGAAAAATATTAATCAGGAAAGTGGTTTATGGAATGCTAACTGCTTCAAATTCAGATAATCATCTTTTGATGCATTTTAGGCAGAAATGAGCAAAAATATTTTTCTGAAAGAAAAGATAAAAAAAGTTTTGCTGTTTTGAGCTCTTCCCTCTTCAGTGCAATCCTCAACTGGATTTACTGTATGAGAATACTGTCTCCTCTTCCTCAGCCTATTACAGATTAGCAATCCTTGCTTTCCTTATCCCCTTCTTTAGTCTCTTCTCTAGCATAATAATCCCAAGAAAAATTTCCTGTTTCAATTACCTACATTGAAAAATGTTTGTCAAAGTGTCAAGGAGGACACGGTGGCAGCACATTCTCAGCATCCCATGTGTAAATGTGCCAGTTTCAAAACCACAGTAATAATATCTAGAGAGCAAGGAGCACATCTTTTTTTGTTTTGTTCAGGGATTTCTGTGTTTTCAGTGATTTACAATGAATTTACATCCTCTTTGCTATTTACTATCTCTAATCCAATTCTGGGACACGCTGAGTTTCTCACTATATGTATATGCAAATGGAAACATAATGCATGGAGTCCCTATATTGATGAGAGTACTTAAAATAATTCTAAATAAAAATTCTAAAGAAAGAAATTGCTGAGAATATATTAAAGTGTGCCTGGTAAGACGTATAAAACAAGTAACAAAAATAATAATGAAAATTCTCTGAGGAAACAATGTACTTGAAAGTCACTATTCTCTGAAGATTCTTTATGTAGCCTCACTCTTAAACAAATAAGAATAATAATTTACAAGTTTTTTTATCTTAATTCTAGAACTGATAGAACTTGAAACAAACTTATAAAATTCTCACATATTTTTTCAAATGCTTTGCCCAGAAACTGGTAAATTAAAGGAGAATATTTTATGGTGCCCCTAGGACATATAAAGTTATTTTGGGCAACAGGACATGAACAAAATACGTGAAGTTTTTTGCATGAAGTTGAAACGCAGTTTCCCTCTTTCTTAGGAAGAAAAATCTTCCATATGAAGATGATAGGGATCGAAATCCTACAATGTTCAATTAGGTTTTGATGACAAAAACTGTAGTTACTCCTACTTTGCCAATTTAATTTGCTATGTAATAGCAAATAACTTTTCATATAATCTTCAAAAATAGCGAATGAATATTTTAGTGCACTATCTCTGTGATGTCTAGGTGATTTCTTTTGGGAATCTACTCATATATCTT